CTCGCCAGTTTCGTTGAATTTTTTTCGTGGAGCCCTGGTCGCCTGCTCGTTGTTGTCTGAAGTGCGATTTAGACGTTGATCAGTCGGCGGTTGATGTAAGGTTTTGGCCCGGGTCTGTTTGATCACATCGACTCGTTCATGCAGTCGCTTCATGCACCGAAGTAGCTCGACTGCGGTGACGTAATCTCGCACGCTCAGGGTCCGCGCTTAATCTTCGTCTTCTAGTACAGCGATCAGGTACTGGATGCACGTCAAGTCATCCAGGTTGCTGCGTCATGCTTTCGCCAGCTTGTCATAAAAGTACGCTTCGATCGTCTCGTGGCATCTTTTCTATCTTTTCTCTATGTCCCTAAAGACTTGTTGAAAACTCGATGCCGACGGAAAGGCCTTTTTCCTTTCCACTTTCCACTCGTCCTGGATTCGTTGAAGAGAGGCCAAACCGTCATACCATGTTTCTGCGACGCCGTGAAACTTAGTGAGAACCAATCAGGTCGTTTGTCGATCACTCCATTCATAGGCCGCAGCTAGATTGTGAACCTTGTTGAGCCACGCTTCCACCGTAGGCTGGGTGTCCGATGAAAGTTAATATACTGGCACCAACTGGGCGCTGGTCGTAGTCAGCCGTCCATCCTTGACGACTGAGGTATTTGGAAAAGCTGAGCCGCTCCTTGAATGGCCTCGCGTAACGCAGTTTGTATCGCGGCCTGCATGAGTACTTGAAAGCCAAGGACTCCGGAAGTTGCACCGTCCGGAACCAAGCCGTGGTCGCTCGATGTCGCGGTGTCCCTGGCCTCCATCGTCAAATTGTCGTGTTGGTGATCGTCGCGGTTGGGGTGTTCGTCGCGCACCTCCGCACTGCTAAGCATATCTGTGGTCGTCGAATCATCCTGTCGTGTGGTCCCCTGCCCCTGTCCTCCTGTCGTTAGCTTACGTCTTTTCGACTTCGTGATTTATGTGGAAGAAGCTCTCGTTGAGGATGTCGGGTTAAGCGAGCATTCCTAGAGTGCTACTTAAGTTGTAGCCTTCAATCCGAACTGCTTCTGAAGTCGGGGCATCTCGGTTCCATTTCTGAGCTTGTATGTAGTCAAACAAACATCTCGTCTCCGCTTTTCTTAAAAAAAGCAAACAAGCAGTTTATCAATACGACACCCGCTCGTCACCCAGACGGGTACCTACCTCCGAAACTTCTTCATCTCGAGTCTCCTTCTTTTTCTTGTTTGTGTCCACACAGCCTACCTAGGTGACGTCACACGCCGATGGTACTCCATCGCGTGGACCGGCTGCGACATGCGTTCGCAGTTCTCGCGCACACGTGCCGACGGCTGCTGTCGTAGGCAGCATGAATTACAAACCACCGTGGAGTTTTTGCAATGGTGCTGTGACCTGCTACAGCCCTTAATCTGACCCGTAACGTAAAACGCCTTCTACATAGCTGCTGCTGCGTCATAAAAAAAAAAGAAAACGTACCCATCCTATGCAAATAAAACGTCTAGATGTTTCAGTAGATAAAAACTTGGAGCAGAGGAATGCAGTGGCACGCCTAGCTGAGCAGTCCCGGTTACCTAGGCAGAGGTAGGCGCCACGCGGTCATTAACATGCTCCCCCTTTTTATGGTCACAAACGTAATAAACTTTATCTGGAATAAACAAAAGAAAACCCGGCCTAGTTGGCCTGCACTTTGTGAAACATGTTCACTTGACTGTTTGCCAAGCACTCTAACAATCTGAAGCTGATAATGTCGTTACACTTAGAAAACAAAATAGAAAAGATGCCTGCGCTGTCGCACTGAGCATGGCGTTTCACCATGCTCAACATCACGGCGAAGACTGCTCTTTGTTAACTATGAACACATTGCCACCTTGGTCATTCGCTCCTTTTCCTCCTTAAAGTGATTGACTCTCTTTAGTGCTTTGCGGGAAAGTAAACAATCGAGGTTTTTTGTTAATGTCGCGCGCTCAGGACATCCCGAGTGCACACCACACGCTGAGATCCATTTGAAGAATTAATCGTTGATCTTCCTACTAGCAGCTCAGCCATTGCATTTGGGCAGCTGAACTGCGCCCCAATGATGTAAATAGCGAATCGGAGTTAACTTTTTTTTTCTTCGCAGTGGAATGGGTAGATTTTTGATAATACTGATCGCACTTCTTATTGGTTTATTGGTTCAGTTGAAAACAGGAAGGCAGTTTATTGGAGTTTCGAAAGCCTAGCAGGGCAGCACGAATGCAGGAGATTGTCAGAATGTACTGTGCCCTGGCTGAGAGGGTGCGGAATAGGAAAAACACACAAACACAGGATACAATTCATAAACTGCAAATTTAGATTGTACCTAATATACGGGGAAATATATCAGCCATAGATGTAAAACTCTGCCCTTCACTATAACAACAAAGGGTGTAGCCCTTACACCCCTTGTCACATATACGACACCCCAAAACTTCAGTTCGCCGTACAGCGCACTGACATCAAGCTGACGGTCCTAACTTTTACGAGAGGTTTGATGACGGCGAGATAAAAGTAGGGCTCCGTGTTTTCGGAGTTTATTTTTCGTGAAATTCGTAGGGTGTTTTTTGGAGTTTATTTTTTAGAAAAAATTCGGTGTTTATCGGAGTTTATTTTTCGTACATCCCCGATTCTCCGAAATCCGGAGATGAATTTCGCAGTGTTTTCTATTAAATAATAATACATAAGAACCAGATGCAAACGTATGCCAGATAAAAAAATAAAACGCGCTTGTATCAATGAAGATTTTTTCAGTTGAATTTGGCGTTGGTGACATTGGCTATACTAATTTGTCCCACGACAAAAGTCGCACACAAATGTGGCTTCGATAAACGTCGATACCTTAAAATCAATAAACTGCCGGAGGTATCCGCAAGCAAGCCCGTAGTCATCCCATCAATCTATACCGCGGCCGCGCTAGGTGGAGTGGTTAAGGATGTAATGGAGAAGTTTCCACTGCCCCTCTTCTCTATTTTATACCATCTCTATGGCCCACTGTTACCCCCCCCCCCCCCCCTTTTAAAAACACACCCTCTCCTTTCTCTAAATCCCAAATCCCATGTCCGAAATTGGAAAGAAACCAAAAGAGTGGCTTTTGTCGTGACACGAATGGTACGTTGACCTGTTTCCCTGAAGCAACCTTGACGAGACAAGCCATAAGACCCTCTTTTGACAACGGTCCGAGGCTTGAAAGATAGTTATGGTGTCAATTTCACAAGACCATTAATGCTGCGCTGCTCAAATGAAAAAAAAAAAAAAAAATCTTTTTTTTTTTCTTGTTGTAAAGAAGGGGGGGGGGGGGGGGTGGCTTTGCAACATAACAATTCGTAGTTTATCGGATAAATCCTAATGGACAAACATTTTACAGGCGGGTGTTTTTCGGAGTTTTTTGGATTTATTCGAAAACACGGAGCCCTAGATATAAGACATTAAACAACTAAAGTAAGCATCAAAGAGTATAGAAAGAAAACGCTGAGGTTTTACAGTAGGGCCAAGAGAACCCCTATAACTTTTTTTTACAGCCAGATACACTTACGTAATATTTTAGTAAGTTGTACAACTCAGCTATCAAGCCTCTTGTGAAAGTTGGTAGCGTCGGTTGAACGTCAGTGCGCTCTACGGCCAACCGAGTTTTAGGGGTGTCGTATATATGACAAGGAGTGCAAGGGCTACACCCACCTTTTTTTAGTGTGTTGCTTACTCACAAGGTTTAGTAAATATTACAAAAAGCAAGAACATTTGTCTTATCTAATATTGTCCGTTGTCAGTCAAACAAAAGCTAAAAAGACGTTACTGTCAGACGGCTTTCTGCCATCTAAACCTTACCTTAGATAAGTGGAGTTTTTTGGTTGGTTTTTTTTTTTTTTTTTCTGAAAGTATATTATTTAGCCGAGGACTACATATACGACGCAAGTTCAAAAGGGAGGGGCAACGACTTTTGTACTTTCAGTAAATACTACTTAGAATTATTTGTTTGACGTCCATAACCTAGAAAACACACGTTAGCTTTCTTTCTTAACTCAATGGCACTCGCGAAGAAAATATTAGAGAAAACGAGCAGCGCTACCATCCCCCCCCCCCCCCCCCCTCCCGTCAAACTTCCATCCAGAACAGGTGGTCGCGTGGCTTGCGACCAATTAGTCACCGCCAATGTTTATCGTAGCCACGCGCTGGCTACGATAAATACTGGCTACGATGAACACACTTTAGCAGAGCACAAGGAAAGTGTTGAATTTCTGACAGTCTTGGATTTCACTATTCTCCTAATGGCATGCGGCGATTGGACACAAGCCACCACCCGAATGCTCGTCGTGCCAATGCTTCTCGCGAGCCCGAATAGAGTGCTCACGCAGTGCTATTGTAGTATATATGAGCCGCTGTAAAATACTGTTGCCATAAGGTACTCCCCGTGAATACGCCAACAGTGCAATGCCCATGACTACGTCATCAAGCTCTGTGAAGGAGAGACTGAAAGGAAGAGTCCGCTTTTATTCTTGAAATTCCACTGTGAAAACAAAGGTTCTTGCTCACGGGCGTTGCATGCGATGTAGGATAGCGTGACCCCGATAATAATTTCAAGGTCTTTATTTTATGGTAGAAGTAAAATACCCATCGCCAAACGCTCAGTTTGCTCAAATGTAGTGCTAGCGGTGGGGATCAATCGCCAAAGTTTCAGAAATAACCGTTATCTTATTCAAAAGTTATCTTGTAACGGGACCTGCTCTGACGCCATTCAGCCCCAGGTATTCGTGGACCTCGTCGGCCATTATTTCTCATTCAAACTTTTAGACTATCGCTCACAGCGTTTAAATAAGATAAAGGCTAGTCCTAAAACTTTGGCATCTTGAACGGAACGCTCACGCTACATCTGTACTACTATTTTTTTCTCGGTGACAGTCGTCATTTAGGTCACACTAGTGCTAGCAAGCTTGGGTAAAGTGACCAACATCGTTGCACTACCCTTTTAAGTCGGCATAAAAAATAGTTCGTTTACTCACCAACCCCGGATAAAATGGCGGGAACATGGCAAAGATGGCGGCTGTCCATAGATAAGTGTACGCTAACGGCACAATCCAAGCCATCCTCTTGAGTGCAGCAAGAACTTCGTACATCTTGGAGCCAGTCATGTATTGGGTGTCGACGTCTCGTTGGAGTCCTACAAACGTCACATTTTGCGCGGCTGACGTCGTTATGCCAGTGGGATTTCGGTCCATCCTTCCCAACAGCCTGTCCAGCTGGGGATCGGCTGGCACGTCTTTCTCCCGTGTCTTTTCTTCCAGACTGCGGTAAGCTTAGGATTAATGAAAGGTTGTAATGCAGAAGTTGTGCAGAGTAAATTTGTTTGTGTGTAACAATATCTCATCTGACGTATATATTCTTGGCTAAGTTTAATCGGCCTGAGCTCACTTACCCGTAGACAGTCTTGGGTAAGTTACTTTTAAAAAATAATTCGTTACAGTTACAGTTACTTTCAGAAAAAAAGTAGTGAAGTTACCGTTACAGTTACCGCAACAAAAGAGTAACTCGTTACAGTTACAGTTACTTTTAAAAAGTAACGATGTTACTTTTCAGTTACTTTTCTATAGCACAAAAAAATTAGGAGAAACTAGAAAACGCCTCTCACCAAGATTTATTGCATAAAATTAAAAAGTACTCTTTTTACTCCATATTGTAACTTAGCAGAAATTGCTTCTCGAAATTAGTGTTCGAAAATTTCCACGCCGGAGTGGTGGCGCAAATCAAAATACGAAACATGCGCAGGTACTGGCGCTAATCAAAATACGAAACATACGCAGTGCCCTCCGCGTGTACTGTTGTTTCACGGTTGATTCACCCGATTAAAAAGCGTTTTCACAGAAAAAGGGAAAACCACAACATAAATAGTGCTTCAAGGCACTAAGAGTAAGTGTTCAGTCACCAAGTGCAAGCGCGTGCGTAAAGATAACTAGATTTTGTTTTTCATGAAATCTACACGTGGCTATAATCGGGTCGTGACTCGTGTGAAAGAACGCATTCACAAGTTTGTGCAAGGCCAACTTGACACTCGAAATGTCGGCATAGACGATTTGAAAAGTGCGACAAAAAAAATAAATAAATTGTACCTCGTTCAGTGATATATTATTCATAAAACACTGGAAAGTAACGAGAAAAGTAACGTCGTTACTTTCATCGTTACCTAAAAAAAAAGTAATAGAACTACAGTTACAAGTTACATTTTAAAAAAGTAACTCGTTACAATTACAAGTTGCCAAAAAAGTAACGAAATTACAGTAACGCGTTACTAGTAACGCGTTACTACCTAAGACTGCCCGTAGACTATCAGTTGCCCTCCGAACAACACTTATCTTTTACGGAGAGCTCAAGAAACAAAGGTGCGGCTTGATATGCTCAGGGTCATTGATTCGTGCTTCGTCCTTCCAAGTTTTTATCTGCTAATGGTGTAACCTGATCGGCTGCGTACCGATAGCAAGGTGCACGGGACTCACCGCACCCTAAGCTTCTTAGGCTGTCAGGGACTATATACAAGGCACAGGCAAAAAGGTGACCGCAATATGTTTTTGTTCGCATAATAAAGACGACAAAATTAAAATAAATTTCCTGATTTTCGGCATGAGATACCCCGCGTTCAAATCGCTTGCGCCAACCCTTTACCAAAGTGTGGGTGACTCGGAAGAAAACATATAGTTGGAGACTCCGAAGTCAGGGGTGCGGCGCCGCTTTGAGCTCATTCCCAGTACGGAGTTAACTCTGCCGAGACCTGCTTCGAGTGAGTCAAGCAAAGCGAACTCGCTCGGTGCTTGGTCCTTTTGAATATGGTGGATGCGGAATGCACTGAATACGTAGACCCTTGATTTGTGTCCGCTGTCGGACGTGCCGTGTGGGGCACGTGCAACAGCGGCATTGTCGTGCCGCAGAAAAACGCCAAAAGTTCAGCAGACCATAGCGCTTTAGCCTGACGAAACACGGAGTTGGTCTCTAGGAAGTAACAATAAGACACAGCCTTGACACCGAGTCTCTCTACACATAATGTTCGACTATTGGTCCTTTATGCATGGTGACAAAAGACTGTTAGCATAACCTCGCCTCGAGTGGAAAGTGCCCGGAACCTTTTTGGTCTCCTTGACAAAGTGTGCTGTTTGCTTGCGCGATTCGTTTTTGGCTCTGCGTAGTGGATTCAAGATCGTCCCCGGTGGTAATGCGTTCAAAAAGTATCTCTCTCAGCTTCTGAGCGCCAGATCAGCGTCTCGCACACGTCCACATAGCGCTCCTTAATGTATGTTGTAAGTTGTATTGATACTCATCTGACAGACACTTTATGGTACTACAGAACATCGCTAATCATCCGATGCACCGAGCCGTGACTAATGTTCAATTCTTTAGCCATTTCATTGATAGAAACACGGTGGTTTTCCTCTCAAGCCGTTCAACGTCTGGCATGGAGTGCGGCATCGTTGAAATCTGAGACCGACCGCAGCGAGGTGTGTCCATCAGACTTGACACTACGCTCTGAAAATATATCTTCCACTCATACACCTGCCGAAGTCACATAGAGACACCCTCATACTGCTTCCTGCGAAAAATTTCCGCGTGCCCTTTGCACCCAAAAACCGGATTACCGGGAGCATGCTCCTCCTTGGTGCGCGCTTTCAAGGGGGTGGCCATTTCGCGTGGGCTGTGATCACGTGACAATTTCTAGAAGGCCGCTGGGCCGCTGTGCACAACTTACTTCAATGGAGGACCAAAGAATATTTGAAGCACACCAGTCTGTCGTAGTATATGTAGTCTTTTATAAGTATTTTGCGTTTACTTTTTGACTCACCCTTGAATAAACGCTAAGAAATCAGCGACCCTATGTTCGTCGAACACAAAGTTAGGGCCGAAGTTTACGGAGCGCGGCGATTTGACTCTCGCGGGGATGACGCCGCGCTTTTGTCGCCGACGTCCAATGAGCATCCTCAAGGAGCCTCCGACTCCAACTTTATGTCTGACGAGTCTAGAGCCCATTATGTCTCTACATTACCCCAAAGAACACCAGAAATTCAATCGCTGCAATCTATGGCGGGATTTCGGCTAATGACGATGTTGAAAATATTTTCAGGCTTGAAAGAACACTGTGCACTGTGACACGGATTATGACATTTTTTCAAGCTCAATGTCGTGGAGCACAGTTTTTTTTTTTCATATTTTTTTAGGTTTAAGCATATTTTCCGTATCCTCATTCGACACTCTCCCTTTGTAGGGTTCCGCGATTGGCTTTGTCAAGTTCTTAGCGAGGTTCGCAGGATTCCTTTAGAGTGTAATACCTACTCCTTTTTACCAATTGGAATGGCCACCAATTAAGACTTCAATGGTCACTGAGTCTCGTTGGCAAGACAGGCGGCCTCACGTGTTTTTCCCCCACTTGGGCCGCATGGTGTTTGGGTCATTTTAACAAATCTCCCTTCCATAGGCCGAACAGAAAGTCACATTGCAGCTAGCATACTATCACATGTGTCTCGAGTTTTAATATATAGATATATATTTTAAATGCTGTACTCTTTCATATTTTCGACATCTTGTAGACTCTAAGGTAGGGAAGAATAAAAAAAGTGAAAGCCGTTTACAACTCCCTGTAATGCCAAATTAGAGCGCAGCTCTGGAGGAGAAGTAGGGAACGGTACTGAGGGGGGGGGGGGGGGGGCGTGGCTTACGTGACCTCGGGGAGGGGGGGGGGGGGGGGGTCACGTGACCTTTCGGGGTTCACGTGACCTTAGGGGGTGTCACGTCACCTCGCGGGGGGGGGGGGGGAGGCGGGTCACGTGACCCCCCAGAGAGATTTTTCTGCTAGATTTAGCGGGGAAATTTTCCGCTAGATTTAGCGGGGAAAATCTTCCGCAAGATCTAGCGGGCAAATTTTTCCGCTAGATCTAGCGGGGAAATTTTTCCGCTAGATCTAGCAGGGAAATTTTTCCGCTAGATATAGCGGGGAAATTTTTCCGCTATATTAGCGGGAAAATGTTCTCGCTAGATTTAGCGGCGAAATTTTTTTGCTAGTTTAGCAGGGAAATTTTTTCGCTAGATTTAGCGGGGAAATTTTTCGCTACATCTAGCGGGCAACTTTTTCCGCTAGATTTAGCTGGGAAATTTTTCCGCTAGATCTGGAGGGGAAATTTTTCCGCTATGGTTAGCGGGGAAATTTTTCCGCTAAATTTAGCGGGGTGATTTACCCATAATGCAGCGCTCGGTTACGCCGGCGGCGGCGCCGACGCCGCTCAAGCCAGAAACGGGCGCCTAAGAGCTGCGCTCTAAAACAAAGGACGTACGCAACCAAATGTTATTTTCGTCTCAGGGTCTAGAAGATGTCGATTTATTAGCAACTCACCTGCACTCTATCACTGCTCATAATATTTGTAACCAGTTTTGCTCTCATATATGGCCGCCGCTTGGTTTGCATCCTAAATCTTTTTCACTATTTTCCTTTTTTTTCGTTTGCCAATGTTAATATTTTTACATTATTTTTATACTGATATGTTTTAATATTTTTCCTCATCTTCATACCGATGTTCGACAGGAACATTTTCTTCTTTGTATTGCACTTTATGTTGTGTACATGCCGGGGTTCATAAGGAATCATAAATGAATGTATACAAAAATGAAATGTCTAGGGACACATACACTGCAAAAAATTATCAGTGAAGCGCTACCGGCAAATTGCAAAGATTAGTCCGCCGCTCGACTGTCGTTACCATACCAAAAAGAGAGAAAGGGGAAAATAAGTGTCGCTACTAGGAAAGTTGACCCTTTTGTTCCTCTCGTCCTACAGATTACGTGCCAGACATTGGCGAGTGTCAAGGCGATTGTTTCAATGCGTATTTTGAGTAGTAGTAAACGCGCATAACCAAAATATAAATTCTACAGAAGACTTAGCTCAGAAGTATAGCCGGCATAACTACCTTTCATCGTAATTTCTTTAAAACGTAAAAAAAAGTGAGACTTACCACTCCAGCGGTCTCCACTTTGCAGGCGGCGACGACGACGTCATCAGAGAGACTGCCGGAAGAAAGACAAAACAACAACTCTACAATCGTGGGCACGTCAGAGGCATTGGGATCTAGCGCATGCACCAATCTAAGAGGAAAAAAAAAAGAAGCGAATCGAACTTTGGGTGACTGCCAGCTGGATACGAAACAAAGACATACAATAAGCTGCAAAAGATAAATATTTAGATTCAGGTTGACCTTTCATACCTATGCGCCGCGTACTTCGTTTCTTTTGTCCAGTTAGAGGATACGTGCGTACCACGCGAAACGTGTCTTATCTATCGCTATCCCGGTAACCGACGGACAACGGCTGCTTCACGCAGCACAATGAAAGTGCCCGACAAAGGGAACCGAAAACGCGACTCGACCTGGGACACGGGCGCAATTGTGTCGGCTAGGCGATCTAAGCTCAGCGTTAGAGGCGCTAGATAAAACAAGATAATAACACCTTCTCCCTCCACCTCAGGCCTGCATCGTTTTCTTTTTTTATACTCTTTGCTCTCTCACACTCGAGCATCGTATAAATTGTGCCGAGATAGCAGGCAGCATACACTCCTGTAGTTTCAACTTGGGTCCAAGTGCCGTCCTAGGCTCAAACATACACCAAAAAAAAAGCAACCTGACCAAAAAGCTGATTATGACGGCGCACTTTTCGGTTTATTTGGATTAGCTGCGAAGAAGGTACCCTGGGAAGAGAAGGTAAGCCGTGACGTTGCACTTCCGGCGTTGCTTGATTTGTGGGTTTGTCCTCCGCAACGCTTTTACACTATAGGCCTTTTCTTCGCGGATTTCGTCATCTTGAAGGGTCGAACTTTCGGTGTGTTTAAAAACATCCTGTTGCTCAATCAGGGGGCCTTTTATGTTTCTACTCGATCAGCCATACCACAATTGACTATTTCTGTGTCACTGCCTGTTCGAGCTATTCCATTGCCTGCCATTCTGCTGCCGCCTGGAGAGCACTCCCGCGATGCAAGACACAGTTTGCTTGTTCCGCATAAGAGTGCCGATCACTCTATATATTCTAGAAAGGAAGCCACCAGCTTCACTGCGCGCAAGGTAGTAGGTTAAGGACCCGCGATTTACAAAGAAAGCTGGGCGAGTGACACGGCTAGATAACAAACAAAAATATTGTAATCTTATCTGTGAAAATCGTCGAAAGGGATATACGTGCTTTGGAGCTGCAAATATTTGAGGAGTCGTTTATGCACCGATACTTACTACGCGGCTTCTAAACTTCGTGTCAGCTTCGGTCCGAGCGTGGCCGATGTTATGAGCCGAAGGGCCAATCAAACAGCGTTAAAAGCGCAACGTCATGGCGTGCTCTCTCTGCTTGATAGGACTAGCCGGCGGAGGAGCACGCACAGAGAGACGGCGAATACCGGCTGGTCCTATCAACCGCATAGAGCACGCCATGACGTTGTGCCTCTTTCGCTGTTTGATTGGCCCTTCGGCTCATAACGTCGGCCGCGCTCGGACCGAAGCTGAAACGAAGTATGGCAAGAACGCCACTAGTCATCGTTACGGTCACGCGATCACTTGTATACGCTAGCCAATGGGAATTGGGAATGTACCAAGTCAACGAACTCCGCTAGATTCAATGAGCGAGAGATTGCCCGCCACATTTAGGGGACCACTATCCATCATATTGTAATTTTAATTTGAGTGACGCCTTTTTGTGATGCCCTTATCAGAAAGTGCAAAGTCATCAGAGATAACGCATTGAATATCAAGAAACAAGCCTTAGATGCTTTAATGACGTTGACGGCTAGACACCGATTTCCTTTTTTTACATCTTCGCTTCTTGATCACTTTTGCGTTGTAAACTTTATTTCTAAATCTAAACCGTTTCATTTTCTTTTTTACTTTGATAGTTCCCTACGATGGATACACCCTACGATGGACTAAAGACAAAAGCTACAGACCACCAGATCCAATCACGAGCAACATGGAAATTGTCTGGTATTTGGCTTCAATGCACGTGTCGGTGCCCGCGTCCATTGGGAATGGGCGGACAGTGGTTCGAATTGAATAGCACTGTGTGACTCACCAATTTTACATCGCAAAGAAAGCTCTTTGCAGTGTTGAAGCTGCAGAAATGATGCAGCACTTTTTGACTCGGAGCATTATTCGTCCACCCTGATCAATGTTAACGTGCGACGTGATTGGACCTGGCGCCTGTGGCTTTGACCTTTAGTCCATCGTAGGATGAGACAAGAGTATAGTGGGACATTTTGCGGTTTCGCGCCGTCGACCGCACTCCATACCGACGCGATCCATTTTCGGCAGTCCGCCCGGAAATTCCACGGGTCGCTCATAACTAGATTACATGTACTGTCATGTATGAGAAGTAAAACAGTCCCCGCCGAGCAGTGTATTCGCAAGCTCCACCTAGCGTGTCGCCGCCCTTGCGGCCAACCTCAGAAACGAAAAAAAGGTGGATTGTTTTGCTGTGTAGGTTCGCAATGTAGGTGACGGACGGACGCTCACAAACACCGCGAGAACTGATATTACGCGGTGATTTTACAGGAGAACGGGCAACTTGATATGCCACCAAACCCACGCGGCAACAAGACGTCGAAAAAGGCCCGGCCTGCGTCCGTTCGTCGCAGGATCCAATGCTCGACAGTGATCGTTCGGCAGGCCAAGTGGCGTAAGTTGGCCCCTCCAAGAAGCTTCGCTCCTACTTGACTCCGAGAACATCTTGTTCACGGACTGTGTGCTCGATGGTTGGATGATTCTCATGGGGCAGTCTTCAGTCTTCACAGTGGCCGTAAAAGCGCAAAAGTCGATCTGATGTTCGTCAGTGCCCTTCGCTTGCCGAGATAGCACTATCCCAAAACGAAAGTTGTCAAGGTCGACAGATGGTCAACAAGTGTTAGAGTGTAGATTCAGAAGATTTATTATGTTTATTTATTTATTCACTTACCCACAATGACAGCGTTATTTACCCACAGCGCTCTTCAGTGTCAACAGGCGTGGGTTAAACTTTGCTTTACATTGGATATAACAAGCTATACTAAGAGCATTAGGGAGAGTTAATCGTGGTTTTTGTGCGTGCGCGTAACGACTCCGCCAATACACTACTTCCATAAAGCCCTGCATGCAACACGGCGCCCGTTGCACTGTGGGAACTAGTTGGCCAGGGAGGAGGGTGTCATGGTTTCGGTTTCGATCGACACGTCGACAAGAGATTGGTTTCTGGTCCCGAGAGCGTCATTTGTGGTCTCTAAACTATAGCCTAAATGGTCAGACCTCGAAGCTTTAGCATAAGCCCGAGATGTATAGCTTGTCTTAACACATGCTTGTTGTATTTTTGTACTTGAGCCATCCTGTTAGCGTTCCAATCGAGGTATGTGGACGAGCCAGTGCTGGGAGTCTCGACGCTGCGAAGCTCGGGTGCTCGGGGATCTTGCTTGTGAACGAATCAACAAGCTGTAGCAAACAATAAGTATGCATACATCGAGCTCGCGCCTTTACATTAGTGTTGTTGATCAGGAAGTTTGTTTGCTTCGTGCGTCCATAGACGAAATATAACTTTTTGCAACTACTGTTTTTCTTAATGTGCCTGAGTATGCGAGGTAAAACTCGGAGGTGCCATTGAAAAGCTCAATTTTAACACACTCCTTATCTCTTATTTGCACTGACCCGCAGCACTGCACGAAGTGAAGTCCCCACCCGCTTGCATTTCACTAATATTCAACATCGCGTATGCGCATAGAGTTATCCTGCAATCATATAGGCGAATTTGCGCACACAGACCGTTTTAAGAATGCAAAAGTCGAGCACTTCTGTGAAGAATGTCGCACCGTTCGCCGGAAGTGCGTCAGACGGGCATGAACCCTATATGCGCACCGCATTGGGGTTCATGCCCGTCCGGCGCACGGTGCGACATTCTTCAGACAAGTGCTCGAACGAATTCAAAGCGTATTTGACGGTTGCTAATGGCCATTATATTTGTTATTTGTTTGCTTTCTTCCTGCCTGAGTATGCCGAGATAATTTCAGACACACCGTTCCCGGCACAGATCTCGGGCGTCAGTAAAAGCTCGTCCAAAAAGGCTTAGCGAGGAGTAGGGGACGCTTGTTAGGGCCTCCGTCGTAGCTAGCCGATCTCAGCGTTTGCGGAAAGTTAATCTACTATCAGCATAAAGTTTGAGTGGGAGATATATGATGACACGAGGAAGACATCATAGTAACTTTTGTGCAGTAGTGAGGTCGAATTTATTGCGTTTCCTTAAAAGTTCATGCGTAAACGCTGTCCTCAACTTTGATACCCCGTGAGGATGCGGCTTGCTTTTCGTTCAATGAAGTAACAAGAAGCGGACGTTTGGCAAACAAATTGCGTGTAAGGCTCCAGACGAACAAATTTCAGTTGTAGTTGACTGGTACTAGACGGGATTACTGACATTGAGCTCAAAGATGCATTCGTCGGGTGAGGTGACTAAGCCACGACTTACTACGTTCGCATACGCACGCACAATATCTGGTGTTTCGGGAACCAAGGAAAGTGCCCCGGTCTTCGTTTTGTATCGCTCGATAATGAGTGTATTGTACTTTCGTGAAAAGTCAGATAATCGAAAACGGAAGCAGCGCGTTCGGTCGCGGCGTGATAGCATGAGATGAAGCTGCTCAGTCGAAACCGAAACTGAGTGGCCAACTAGTTCCCAGAGTGCACTGCGTGGTATTTCGCCGCGATGGGGCGCGTCGGTTTTGGAAGAAGTCCATTCTGCTCAAGCGCCTTTTTTCCGAAAGCGTTGCATGGTTACCTTCACATCCGGCGTGTTTCTTCGAATGTATTTCGCGATGAAGGCCTTTGTTTTATTACGGTTTGGTTTTTATTGCGTATAAGGGGGGCCGAAACGTATTGGTCAAAGGTTATCGCTGCTTCATCTTGAGTTCTCTCGATTTCAAACATAGCATAAAAACAGTCTAACGACATAGAATTACGCAGTTTGATATGAAATAAAGTATTGCGTTTCATGGACTGATTCCTCTTTATTTTGGGACCAATGTAAAAGGACAATCACATAAGTGCAGTGTTCGCCCACGCGTAGTGAATATAACGTTTCTGGTACTGAGCAAAATATACGCGAACGATTTGGAGTTTCTCTCCATATATTCGTTTTTGCAAAATGACAATGCAGAGGCCCGATTTAGGCCCATGGAATTGTAATATGCGCATAAACAAAATAAAGATTTGAATAATATTCACGAAACTGAAATAATTTTAGCCTGCTTGACTGGTTACTTGTTTCCGAGTGTTAAAACTAACGCGTTACAAGTAACAAAGA